AGTTAGAACTAACAAATAGAATACATATATAGCATTTTGAGATTAAATACAAATTTTTATCTCAAAATGCTTTTATGTATTTAAATTTGCTATAGATATAGTTCCAAATGCTATAGACCTTATAGTTGATAGCTATGTTATTTCTGCTGGCTTTGTAAATTTCTAGCATTTAATAAAATAACACATATATAAATAATAAAATTAAAAATACGATAAAAATATAAAAACAACAAACCATAGGAATTCCATATGCTTATGTCTTATTTACTTATAATTAATTTGAATGGTTATTGAAGAACGATCACCATACATTAGATAGGGATTCTGAGTCTTTATGGTTAATACAACCATTTTTTAATGTGGTCTTGAATATTTCCAATGTTTTCACTGTTATTAAGTGATGTTGATTGTAGACTCTTTATCACTCTTGCTTCATTTAGATTTGTGGACATCCTGGGCTCTGTTGCATATTGAACTAAAATGGTTATATGTTTGTTATCTATATCATATTTGTGTTCATTGATTTTGCATTTTAAAGATCTAATTGTTGACCCACTGTACATAAGTTAGTGATTAAATCTTGTATCTGTTAGTGGGATAGAATATACATAGTGTTGTCTATCTCATCCTTGCTGTTATGTAACAATTTGTAGATTGTGGAATTTCTATGGAAGCACAAGCTTCCATAGAATGCTGAAAACATTGGAATTATTCAAGACTATATTGAAAAATGGTTGTATTAACCATTATCCATAAAGACTCAGAATCCCTATCTAATGCACGGCAATCATTCTTTGATAACCCTAAAAATTAATTATAAGTAAATAAGGCATAGGCTTATGGAATTACAATGGTTCATTGTATTTGTATTTTTATTGTATTTTTAATTTTATTATAACGAGTTTGCTTGAATTTCATNTTGAAACGACACTTTGAAATGTTTTCCCGATGAAAACGAATAATAATAATATATTTCAATAAAAATGATAAAATGAAAATTTAATTTTATTATAACGAGTTTGCTTGAATTTCATCTCTTCTGAGATCGCAGCAATGCGCGACGGGTAAGCTAGTAAATTTATAAATATAAAACTTAATATTCATTTCAGGGGTGTAACTGGGGTGCAAGTAGGAAATATTCCCTGGATAAGAGGGGTTCTAAGAGGAGAGTATGTAGTTATTTGAATTATTTAGAAAATTATTTGAAAATATAAATCAAAGAATAATTTATCAGAGTCAGGTAAGGAGATACTGAAATGAAAGAGGTGTATAAAGGGGAAGGTACTCTAGTGGCAGCTCAGACCAATTCATCATGTTTCCTCAAAATTCCAAATTATCGATAATGTAGAATAAATAATTTCTGTATAGAGTATGCTATCAGTTTCATTCAGTAACAATTTCAAAACAGTCCTCTTATTATAAGATTAAATAGATAGATAAAGCTTAAATTAGAAATAAAAAATACTAAGTAAAAATAAATTTAAATAACTCACACCAATATTTGTCTAGCTTCTGAGTACAAATTCACTGAGTACGGCGTTAATGAACTTCTTTAATATTCACACAAGTACTTTCGACGTGTGTATAACTGTCGTCATCAGGCGAAAAGAACAAGTTTTTAAGAAAGCGAACATGCAGAATGTTCCAAAAGAACATAATATTTAAATTCAAACAAGCGTCCGGAAATTTCGTTACGAACGTGCGAATAATTTTTGATATTTCGAATCTNACCATTATCCATAAAGACTCAGAATCCCTATCTAATGCACGGCAATCATTCTTTGATAACCCTAAAAATTAATTATAAGTAAATAAGGCATAGGCTTATGGAATTACAATGGTTCATTGTATTTGTATTTTTATTGTATTTTTAATTTTATTATATATATATGTGTGTTATTTTATTAATATATAATGGTTCAATATATTTCTAGCATTTCCAGTTACTTAAGTCGTAGAGGCTCTCATGTATGGTGAACGAGACATGCACATCCTCATTCAAGGCATATGTGGCTAATGCTGTAATAGTTTGCCTTTTAATAATTGTAATGAGATATTCTTACAGACACTGTTTTAATGAACATATTGTAGCCCCAATGTATTGTAGGTTTTGGCCATCTCTTTGTCTTGAAGTGGTATGGAATATACTCCCGGAAGGTACATCTTATTGTGAGGGTCTTTGGTGTTTCTAAGAAAAGCATAGATGGTGGGGTTCCTTCTGTAGGCCAAGGAAACATTGCCTCCTGCTATTTCTTGGTATATAGCCATCAGAGTCTTGTCATCTTGTCATACTGCACAACCTTGAATTTATGATCTGCCATTTCCATATTTTGGTCTTGCTCCACTCACTTGTTCACTAAACCAAGGATCATAGTCACATAGTTTGTAATCCAAAGAGCACAAAACTTTGATCACAATGGCACAAATGCTGGTCACAAATTTGAAGAAAACTCGCTCTAAGTTTAGGAGAATGAATATTTAACAAGAAGACTGTTATAGCCATTAAGAATGACCATTATGAAGGTCAACTGCCGTTATAATGGTCAAATGACTGTACCTTCACTGCTGTAAAAGTTGAAAATATTTGAATCACTGAATCTTGGTTGATTTTGGGCAGACCCCCAAAATTAGCACATCGAGAGGAACCAGATAGTGTAAGAGTTATCCAAATCCTACCTACTATTCTCCCATACATAATAAACAATTAAACTCCAGTAAACAAGTGTCTGGTCTCCAAAGTCCATTTTTAAGAAGACATAATATATTGCCCTCTGCAGGTGCTTTTTGAACATAACCATAACCACTGCACAACTGCAGATCCATCACAAACAAAATTATATAGGGATAAAGTACCATGTTACATAGTAAAAAATTTAAATAGAAGCTAAGACTATTTGAAAATGTAGAACTTAGCTATAAAACGAAAAAGGAAAATCTGTGTGTAAAATTTTGGATATATACTAAGACATCAAGTTCTCATAGATCTAAATTTTTGGGCTAATTTGTAATTAAAGTGAAAATTATCTTAAATATATTCTAATAATCCAGCAATTTAAATTTAGAATTTCATTAAGCTTAGCTTCAGTCATTCTTTATATACAGCAGAATTTACTTATTATAATAATCACTTTGAGACTCATCTTTACTGATGATGATAATTGACTGATAACACTAAGCAGGGTAAGTAAATAAGATTAATCTTACCAGAAACTCTGACTAAATGCTAAAATGATTAATTTCAGAATCAATAAAGATTCTGAAATTAATCATTTTACATGTTCTTTTAAAAACTTTATGATTTGATGATTTATTAATTATTATTATTATTATTATTTTCAATATTAATTAACATGTTATTCATCCAGTTTTGTTTGCTGTTTGACTCAAAAGTTATTTCTTTTAAATTTTTTTTATTCATCTTTTACTTATATAGATCATTTCTAAATTAAATTTTTAAGCTACAGTAATCTATATATTAGAAGTGATCTGATTTATAGCATGTATCAAGTTTTATTACAGTTTACACTAAAAAACTGCCTTACTACATTGTGTTATAATAATTTTGTTTTCATACTTTATTATTTTAGCATAAATGAGTGAAAAATAGATAATATCTATAGAAGTCAATCATTTTTTATTTAAATAAATAATTTTGATTCTGTTTAATGAAAAGTCAATCATAAAATACATCATCATGAAATTAATCAATTTCCTATCTTTCTTACAAGTTTTAAAATCTTGTTTTATAGGCAATTTTTTGGGAATGCAATTCAATACAGATCACACAAAAAATAAACCTTAAAATTTAAACATATCATAAATTTATTCAATGCATAAAAATAATGATTAAAGTAATAATAACAACAAAAATCACATTTAAAATTATCTTCATGAATTTCATTTTTTTTTAATGTACATTGTGAAGTTAAAGGAACTTCATTGATATATTTTGAAGTGATTTAGTAAAGGTAACTTTAATTAATTTGATTCTTTATTAATATTTATTTAATATTAGTTACTTCCATAAAATCATATTATCAAATTAATCATTAGTAACATAACATAACCTAATGAAATTTTTAATTATTTAGGTTATTGGTATAAAATTGTAAGTGTTAAATTGAATAAAATTTAATGTATAAAGATGTTAAAAAAGAATCAAATGCATAAAAATTTAATATAAATATTTAATTTTGATGATAATATGCAAATAAATTTTTGACAGGTTATATTTATAATGTATGAATATATTTGAATCACTGGATAAATATTGCACCTTCTAACAATATGACATTTAAGAACATTGCTAAAGTGTCCAAAATGTTACTGTGCAGTGGAAATTGGATATGACATTAAAATTATACACAGGGCATTGCATGCAAGACCTGTAAGTTATATGTTCTGCATTTCCACTTTGCAGTAGGTGGTGTTACTGCTTACTCACAATGTTCTGGTTTTTGGTAGACTTCTTTGCTGATCACATAATCTCTCATGGAATCTGGCCTGCTAGGTCTCCAGACCTCACTCCTCAGATTTTGGGACTCTTGGGAACATTTCCAGTGCTTACAATAGAAGAAACTGCAGTATTGTGCATAAAACTTTACTTAAACCTTTTCCACTACATGGTAACTTTTTGGACACACTGTATTTGAGTTAATATTTTTATTCACATTGCAAATTGTGTTTTATTCTGGAGTAGTTTTCTATTTAAATATTTTTATACAACATTTAAACAGAAAAACAAGTTATATTTCTAATTCTGCAGAATTGAAATGTAACAATTCCAGAAATTGTTTTGAGTTTTGTCATTTTTTTTCTGAAAGAATGCAAGAAAATTCTTATAATCAAATTCTTTTTATGATAATGACATTTTATTTCATTTACTTTTAGTAAAATTTAAATGTTGTTTTTAATAAGATTTATCATTAGTGCAGTAAAACATTAAATTCACTAGAAAAACTAAATTTAATCAAATTATAAATAATTATATGTGAATTTAGGTAAAGAAGAAATTAAGAAAGAAAGTGAAGATCAGTTTGAAGTGCCAATGAAAAAAACTGAAGAGAAAAAAATCAGTATAATTACTACTGATAAAACTACTGAACTACTTGAGGAACAAACAATAGATACATATGCTTCTCCTTTAGTTAAAGAGTTCCAGGAAGAAAAATCTGAAAAATTTCAAAAAGACAAAATAAGTGATATTTCAATCTCCCAGTCATCTAAAGTAGAACAATATTTAGAATCTAGAACTTCTGAAGAATATAATATTGACTTAGATACTGAAATATTAAGTAAAGAAGAAAAGAAAGATTCTTCTGAAGTAGTAAAATCTTTCTCTGAAATAGAAGATGAATTTATTGAATCCCTGCAAGTAACAGAAGAAATTGAAATCCCAGAACATATTCCAGATCTTACAGTGAAAGAAACTACAGTTGAAATGCCAGAAGAAAAAATAACTGAAAAACAATCAATTACGGAAATTTTGGATAGTTCTGATTATAAAATTAAATCAGAAATTGTAACAATAACAGAACAATGCTCTACAAAAGATATAATTCATGATGCAAAATTTGATGATGATTCAAAAAAACTAAAAGAAGAAAAGGCAAAGATTATGGAATTCATTGAACCATTGTCTGAGATTAAGAAGACAGAAGAAATTCAATATTCAAAATCTTTGCCATCAGAAATTATAGACAAAACTGAACTTCTTTCTGATGATGGAAAGAAGAAATCAGTTGAAGAATTAATTCAATCTAAATCTGAAATGAAAGAAACACTTATTGAAGAAACTGGAGCTACTGAAAGCACTCTTTTATCATACGATGTTAAAACTGAAATATCTAAATTACAGGAAGAAGAATCTGTTATAGAATCAATACCTGATATTACAATACCTGAGTCTGCACCAGATATTACAAAGCAGGAAAATTTAGAGGATATAAAGAAAGATGATGAACAAAAAGAAGAGACTGCTTTAATTGACGACATAATGCCAGAATCTACTCAACATGAATTTATTGATGTGTCAGATTTGGAGGATATTGAACCAGAATTAGAGAGTAAAGCTCAACCTATTGTTACGACACCTGTGATTGAAAGAAAACTCAAAACAGATAGGACACAAAGAAAAACGCACATAAGTGTTGCTGATGTAACAGAAAAATATGCTGATACAGAAGTAAAACAAACTGAACCAATTATATTTGAACCTAGCGATGATGATAAAGAATCTGTTGGTATTGAATGCCATCATTCAACACCTGATTTTAGACAAATGACTGATATAGATTTGGAAGCTATATTAGAAGGTAGTTTAAAAACTTTTTAAGTATTTAAGATTATATATTTCTTTCCATATTTTAATTTTAAATTAATTTAATGTAATAATTATTCTGTTTAAACTGCTCATTTTTAAATGTTACTTCAGTTACACATTTAAAATTAACATATTTTCAGAAATATTCAATCTGAAGTTTTTGTTTTATCAATAACAGTTTTCATTCTTTTATCAGAAGAGAATTTGAATGAAATACACTAAAAGTTATTCTAATTGACAAATTTTGAGTAAAAAAACATCTATTTTAATCAGGTTGTCATTAAGTTTAAAATTTATCTATATATGGACCGTTTATTTTGAAAGTGGTGTAAGTCCATTTTTGCAAAAAATTGAGAAAACACATAATATGCATACAATTTAGTGTGAACTTTTTATTTATAAACAATTCACACTTAACATTTTAAAATAACCATAAGCTTTGATCAATTGAAAATTTATCGGTAAATGACATTGCATAACCATTGATTTTGAAAGTGGTGTAAGTCCATTTTCTACAGTGTAAGCATTTGGGCTGTCCATAAATTACATGCACATTTTTCTTGAAATTTTTACTTTCCCCTCTTGTTCCAGTTTTTCCAAATTTTTGTAACCCCTTTCCCTCTATGGATGTCCAACATAACTCTATCCCTGTTAAAACCTTCATCACTTTATGAATGATAGATACCATAAGTAGAAATGAAACATACAAGAAACTTTGAAATAAATATAATAAAATGCATATTGTATAAAATTTAATGAAATAAATGGATGTCCACTAATACTCAACCCTCCTTGTCCAACTTGTCTTAACCCCTCCCTCCCTTTCAGTGTGGACATCATTTAAAGACAGCCCCTTACAACAGAAGAGTAAAACTGTAAATATTACCAACAAATGTACAATTTGATGGACTAGAAAAAAATCCATGTAATGAATCTAAATGAAAAGCAGTGTCTAATGGTAAGCTCATAATAATGATAAATTTATCATAAAATAGTTTAACAATAAGTAAATATTTTTAATGTTCAGAATAAACAATACTATTTTATTTCTTGTTATTATATATGAACAAAATCAGAATAAAACGCAATGTGTTTCAAGTGACATTGAGTTTTACATAATAGAAATTTAATGAATTTTACAGTTTAGTAATTATGAAAGTGGTGTAAGTCCATTTATGGCCCAGAAAGAATATATTAGTTTGGATAAATTCACATAGAAGTCTTTATGCAATCAACTTACATATTTCTAAAGTCATAGAAACATTGTCAAACTTAGTACACTTTGTTTATATTTTTGAATCAACTAAAATGCAAATGTTTAAATATCTCGAAAGAAGAAAAAATGGACTTACACCACTTTCAAAATAAACGGTCC